CGAATCACCTTGCCACCCACCATTTGAAGTGGTTTCCCTGAGTGTACTTGACGCGGCACTCTCCAGGCCCACAAATCGAGTTGGATCATTGAACCCTTTTATTTGCACTGCTTTCTGGTTCTGCTGAGTATAAGTAGGAGCCCGGATGTTTCCTCGATTGGCCATTTCTAAATGTGGGTAATCTCCATGCTCTCCTGGTTCATGCGATGAGTAGCCATGCTCATTCGGGATGGTCTCGGTGTTTCCCCATTCCAAGTTCTCCATCACTGTAGGCATGATGTATATCATAGATTCGGAGCCAGCAGCGTTCCAAGAGGAAGGAGTACTTTGCATGCCATTCCATGCTCTCCATGATCGCGTAGTTGGATGCCATCCACTGTTCGATCCCCAGGCGGGGGCTATTTCCTGGTATTGGGCCTTTTGGTTGGCTTGGGTCCATGACAGGGTTGTAGTGGCGTATCCATCAGAGTAAGTATGTTCTTGATGATTGTTAGCAATGTCTTGAGCGCCTGAGTAGTTTGGTGGAACGGAGTGGGAAGTAGGTGGTCGTGGAGTGGTGATAGTGGTTGTCTTAGATGAAGTTGTTGGAGGAGAAGTGGTAATCAAAGGTTTTACTACATTCCTTCCTATTGCGATGTCTGCACAGTTAATGAAATGTTCCTGTTTTCCGCAACCGAGGCACTCCCCACCTTTTCCATCTGGACCCATGCTCTGGGCTGTGAAAAATAACAAAAGCTCTAAAAGTTTGAAAAAAGACAAGATTTTCTTATTTTATGTATGGAACCAATTTTTTGTTTCGTACAATATTGTTAATGACTACATTCTTTGTGAAAATATGTAATAAATCTAAAAACGGAAGACGAACATTGTTTAACTATCGATATAAAATAACATCTTATTTCATAATAAACAGTATACAAATGTATTTATCCTGACAGAAATGAGTGATACATGACTCGAGAAATCATTAGTTGTCTTCCCATATCAAGTTGTCATTGCTGTGAATTTTCGGACACTTGGTAAATACCTTATGACAAATTTTTGTTGAAAATATCTCATTTCAAGATACATGTTTAAATGATATATTTTGTTGCAAGAATTTGGGGAAAAATTAATACTGATAGATTTGAACATATTTCCGACAGATATACATCCCTTTATTTACCTGCCACCCATTTCCACTGGAGGACACACTGTTTGCATCTGAGGCGAGGGGGAAGCAGGACGTCAAGGTATATGATAGCTTTGCTGTCGGTGGTTGTGATGTGGTAACGCGTGCCGTATCCAATGATATTTAAACGATTGTGGTCAAGACAGGCTTGAGTGGCTGTCTTTAAGGGATCGTTGACCGGACAGAGGCGGAATTCAAAGTAACCCATGTGGTTACTAGTCAGCTCTATCGTCACGTTGATTACTTGACCTACTTTATATTGACGTGCCACCACTCCAAGGGCGTATTTACCCCCGGCCTCGTTTTCGCGCGGCCCTTCCCATGGATCCCCGCATACACCACATTTTCCACCGTGAGCTTCGAAATGATTCTGAAAATTAAAAGAACAGTCTATGAGATAATTGATCAAGAAATAATCCTAATGTATGCTTTCAGAACTATTAACTAATGAAACGCTTCTTTCAAAAAGCGGTATTATGATTTAAAATGAGCAGATGCGTTAGTACTCGACAGTAAAAAAGACTGATTATCACTCAATTATGAAGCAAATCTCATCTGTCCTACAAAATGGTTTGCAGGAAATATCTAAATAAGTGTACCAGTTTGTAAAATAAGGACAAAATAATAAACTTCAATCCAATATTTAATTATGTTTTGCATTCTTTCAGATTACAGGCAGATTCTAAATTGAACAGCACATAGTTTTATATTCTGCAGAAGAAAAAGGGAGAAAGCTTAACAGGTACGAGTTACTTTATGAAATGGCCATAAGGTAGACTATGCATATGAATTACATAATCCAATAGCCTAACGCCAGGATATGCATATGAATTACATAATGCAATAGCCTAACGCCAGGATATGCATATGAATTTCATAATTCAATAGCCTAATGCCAGGATATGCATATGAATTTCATAATCCAATAGCCTAACGCCAGGATATGCATATGAATTACATAATCCAATAGCCTAACGCCAGGATATGCATATGAATTACATATTCCAATAGCCTAACGCCAGGCTATGCATATGAATTACATAATCCAAAAGTCTAACGCCATGATATGCATATAAATTACATAATCCAAAAGTCTAATGCCAGGCTATGCATATGAATTACATAATTTAAAAGTCTTACGCCGTGTGCGTTTACACTTTATATTATAGCGGTTAAAATATGCAAAGACCAGAAAACTGTCAATTTTAAATAAATGTAAAATTTTATTTATAGGTGATATAGTTATATACATTTATGTTTTTTCACATTTAAATTTTGAAGCACACGTTTGGTTACAAAGGCATTGCTAGCAGTCAATGAAGTTTCAAAGAAATCGCCGCTTTGTTACCTTTAGAATGTGATTTCAATTTTGCATAGATAAGACAGATTCAATATTTAAAGAAAGATTTCCATAATTTACAGATTCCGCAATGAAAGACAGATTCTATATTTAGGACAAATTCCATATTTAAAAACAAATTCCATATTTTACAGATTCCATGTTTATAGACATTTTCCTTAAATAAGACGGATTCAATATTGGAGAGACAGATTCCATGTTTATAGACAGATTCATGTGACATGCCAGATTCAATACTAGAGATACAGATTCCATGTTTATAGACAGATTCATTTGACAAGACAGATTCATTATTGGATAGACAGATTTCATGTTTATATACAGATTCCTTTGACAAGACAGATTAAATATTGAAGAGACAGAGTCCATGTTTACGAACAGATTCCTTTGACAAGACAGATTAAACCCTTAATCCATTTCACTTCATTAGATTAAGGAAATACATTAATTGATATCAAATGCTAACAATAACCTCATTTTAAAACAAAACTTTTTGAAATCTACATCTTTCGATAGATTTGTCAATTTACCAAATGGCTGACCACCGCAAGAAAGTACACGGGGCCTAACTTGCATGTCAGTTGGTGTCAGAATGGATCGGACACTAGTCCAGGACCTGTCCTGCATGGAGTAATACATTTAACATCTTACTATAGCCTTCCTATTATTTCCAAGTTGTGAAGTCTTTCCTTATTTCCAAATTGTAATAGCAATAAGTATCAATATTAGTAAACTGCGGAGAGTCGCCATGGCTGTTTAAATGGATCCTCAATTTAATGACAAATTAGGTAATGGGGAAAATTAAAGTTATGATGAACCGATACTTTTTCCTCCATCATTCTTTCGCAGTCTCAATTACATTTCGGCCTATCTACTAAATGAATAGTAATAATAATAATAATAATAATAATAATAATAATAATAATAATAATAATAATAATAATAATAATAATAATAATAATAATAATAATAATAATAGGGAAATCCCGTTCTTCGCCAAGGAAAATAAAGAACTTAGTTATGTGAAATGGTGGCAGGTTCAGAATTGATAAGGCCATTATATATACATACATACATACATACATACATACATATATATATATATATATATATATATATATATATATATATATATATATATATATATATATATCAGATATTAGTCTGAAAAATGAAACAAATGTTCTAAGTGTTATCTCAGATTATACAGTGACTGATAAATATACACAAAACCGAGTTTGTAAATTAATTCCAGTACTTACCACAAATCCTCCACAGTTTAGACCCATATCATTATAGTTGACTGGGGTGTTATATCCAAACCTCCACATGGAAGACCTCATTGCAGGCTCAATCATCCGTCCATGTCCAGTGACCAAGGGCACCAGACACACAATAATGAAGATTAAATTTACAACCATTCTGCATTCAGTAGCTTCCGAAACTAAAATAATTAAATTAAATATGCGGTAAAAATAGACAAGAATTTCACCAACAGTTATTAAAGCTTGTCTACACCATGAAATTTCTTTTCTTGAAAAAGGTTATAAGAAACACTGCTAAGTAGTGGTGCATGTATTGAAGACGAACCGCCAGGCAGTTTAGCTGTGTATGTGAACTTTATTTGCCCCATATATGTCTCTGTAAATACTTACCTGAGTCAGAACAGCCAATGAGGACAGCCGAGTAAACGCCTTTAACGCCTTTTGTGTGAACCAATCCAACTTTGTTTGGAAGTCATCCTAGTAAATAAACCGTTGCAATGATGATTGATGTCCATTACACTACAAGCGGGATCACATCAGGAGGAATATATCATTTGCAATATATATATATATATATATATATATATATATATATATATATATATATATATATATATATATATATATATATATATATTTATCTGTGTGTGTGTGTTTGATTTACATTTTTAATTTAGCGTTAAAATTTTTAAGTCACATCGCTGTCTGCAGTATTGCAGTATATCTTCATGACTAGCACTGAGACATTATGCCGCTAATGTATGTATGTATGTATGTATGTATGTATGTATGTATGTATGTATGTATGTATGTATGTATGTATGTATGTATGTATGTATGTATGTATGTATGCATGCATGCATGCATGCATGCATGCATGCATGCATGCATGCATGCATATATATATATATATATATATATATATATATATATATATATATATATATATATATATATATATATATATATATATATATATGCCATTTTTAATTTAGCGGTAATTTTTTTAAAAATCACATCGTTGTCTGCAGTGTGGCAGTATATCTTGATGTCTAGCACTGGGACATTATGCCGCAGACAAGTAACATGATGTCCCACCCAGTGACATTTTCCTGACACCAGGCCGACCAGTCCTAACACAAACCTATTAATGCTGAGCACCAAGCGAGGCAGCTGCATGTACCATTTTAAAAAGAATTTGGTATGACTCTCCGGGGTTCGAATCCGCGACCTCTCACTTTCGAGGCGGACGCTTTAACCACTTAAGCTATAGGAGCTTCCAAGATTCGGGGCAGTTACAATTAAGGCTTAGTTTGCAATTGTTGTATCTCTGTCACAGGAGTATTTTATGGGTTTTTAAAATGAAAATATTAAGGTGAAAGTGGTAAGTAAATGATTATTATCAGGTGAACTATAATATACAATTACTTTAAGGAATAATTTTATCCGTAACAGTTAATTCAAAAGTAAAATCTTTACTCATTGACTATTGTTTTCGTACTTTAGTGATATTTTATATGCCAAAATTACCGACGGCAGATCCTTGTAAAGCAGTTTAGTTTTCACAATACTTTTAGAAGCTTTTTCTCTGTTCAATCGATTCATCATTGGTTCATGGTGAGAGATATAACATCTACAAGGAGCATTAACCGATTTGTTTATCGAAACCATTTACATAAAATAATATATTTTTTATTGCGTATGACCTCTAAAAGCGACTAATCTCGAATGTTGTTGACTTTACGAGCCTTAATCATAACTAAGTGTCAGTGTGTTCTTTCAACTTTCTTCTCTTTTCAACAGCTTGGATGTAACGGAACACTGATAGCACAGTAAAAGTATTTGATGTACAGGCATCAGCCAACACCTCGTGAAATAAGGTAACCAGATCATGCACATCTCATGATGTAAGGTCTGCGAAGCATAACATGTCTTATTTTAATGTAATATACACCATTGCCTTCTTAAAACGTTTTCTAATGTTTAAAACTTGGTTCGTTGCTTAAGTGGCTACATCTTTTAAGTATTTTTCCCCATGTAATCATATATTCACCGAATTTGTCACACTGGAACGTTTATTGTACTTCAGCTTCATTGTCCCTATTGTCTTATCTAGCATACATGTTGCCCTAGGGATGATATGACCCAAATCATAAAATCCTTATCGCCGTTGATACTTAATCATACGTTGAGTCCATCACCAAGCAACGTATGCCTTTATCTGTTGTTGGAGAAACCGCAGACAAAGCAGGATCCATGATATTTTTTTCCTTCTAATCACTCTTAGCATAGATCCATATCTGCTGGTGCATTATGCGAGGGCAGACCTGTGTTTGCATCTGGGCTCATTTTATAAGCTAACAAAGACGATATCTCTTGGCGGGATTATGTGAATAGGTTCTCTCAACGTTGTAATCTGAATCGTCTCGAATATGTTGAGGAGCCCTTGTCGGAACATGTCTCCAACGACAAATTTCGGAAGAAACTGATATGGTACAATCATTCCTCTATCAACCTTCATTTTCAGCAGCTCTATTTCCATAATTGGATTATTCAATCACATTATTACATATTAGAAGGAAAATCAAGGGTTTTCTAATTCTCCTTTAAAAGAAATTTTGACAGTGCTTTCTTATCAATTCAGATCGAGATGTACGAAGTGTTGAAAATGCCACGGATAGTAAACTAAGCTAATTTAAATTATTCACCATGCAAACTAAGTCAGTATTAATTATTCATTATTCAAACTAAGTCGATCTAAATTAATGATCAAAGAAACTATGTCAATCAGAATTATTCATCATAAAACTAAGTTTTCACAATGCATATTTATACCTTACACATCATGCATCTTTTGTCGCAAGCGGTTTTCTGATTCTTAAATTCATTTAAAACTAAATTTACTTACATAAACGATAATTCATTTTAAAACTACTATTAGATTAAAATGCCACACATATTTGATTATTTAATATTATTTGGATTTTTAGCACGTGCGAAGATAATCACTTACAAGTATTCATTTGAAACATCTGATTAAATTTGAGATGATGTAAATGATTGTTTAGATATTACCTGTATTTTATTTATTCGTAGATGAGAGTAGATATATTCGAAACATAAAATAGGACATTCCGTTTGCTATTACTGACAATAAAACAAACCGTCTTTTTTAATCTAATCTGCTTACTGACGATATGACAAAAGACTGTTTAATCTAATCTGCTTACTGACAATATGACAAATGACTCTTTAATCTAATTTGCTTACTGACAAAAAGACAAATGTATATTCAGCCTAGTCTGTTTACTGACAATAAGATAAATTTCACTTTAATCTACTTACTGACAATACGACAAATGTATCTTTATTTTAATCTGCTTTTTGACAATAAGATAAATGTCTCTTTAATATTATATGCTGCACAAAGAACAAAAATAAAAAATAAATACAAAATAAAAATAAAATAATATAACAGATGCGTTGGATAAATCTCACGAGAGAACTCTATAAGGCAATTGCCCAGAATGAATAAATACTGATTATTGTCTTTTATACAACAGTCATCCTTTAAAGATTTAAGTTGCCACAGCCAAAATTGTGATCAACTGATTGGTGATTTATGGGTATCAGAAATACATTATTGTGAAGTTTAACTGAAAATTTTAGTTTGCTTTTAATTAATTTATTTTTTGCTGAACGGCAACAGTGCCATACGATTTTTGTCAGTCATTCCTTCGTTCTCCTCGTTGATATTGCTTTTCTGATTTATCTAATTTCATCGCTTAAATCTATTCAACCCCTGTTTTACAAGGAAAGAAAGCTAACATTATAATGTACATATTTATATGTTTAGTATCCAAACGTTAGTAGACCATAACACATTTAAGAAATCCGCATGACGGATTGACCTGCGCAGACATGCACTAAATCAGAGTTTTGTCCCTTGTTTGAAAAGCGCGTGAATGAAATTCTTATGAAATTTTCAAATTGATGTCAGATAGGAATGCAACGTTTTATACAGAGAATAACCTTTACATTGTCCTGTTTTGCGAAACCTCTCCAGTGTGAATACATTTTTATATTACCTGGAATCTTGTGATTTTTCACTATAATTATATCTTTTGGGACATTGTTGTTACAAAAGACTGCACCATGCATGACTTGTTGATTGTTTGGTGTTGTGATAATTGAATTTGTTTTTGAATAAGTTATGTGGCGAAGTTGAGATATATAGATATTCTGACAGAGGAGTTGTCACGTAGAAAGGTCATTATAAGGACAGAAGAGTTGGTACGTAGAAAGGTCGTTAATAAGAACAGAAGAGCTGGTACGTAGAAAGGTCAAGAAGCAAAGAGGGCGGATCCTACAACTTTTTCAGAGGGTCCGTTAGCAAAAATAAAGGTTCCTACGAAGGACGAAAATAAGGTCAATAACGCTAAAATGAAACCACTAACCGAACATATTTTAATAACAAATATCGACTGGGTTAGTTCGTTTTTGTTACTCGTTCGTTGACATATTTTTTCAAATTTTAGGCGTGTTTATGCTTGCGTCTCACACCTGTTATTTTGTCAGCTCACTCTCTCTGCTGCTATGGTTTCTATCCAAATATTGTATCAAGTCCGTTACGATATCTTGATCTGGGATAATGCAAATGTATTGTTATATAACGAAACGGGGTAGCATGCGCGTGTGCAAAGAAATTTTTAAATTTGTTCATGTTCATGTCCCCAGAACACCAAGTATAAGAAATATTGTGCAGCGTATGATTATCAACTCCGTTAAACACAATTAAAATATTACAGTTATCTCTGATCTCTTCTGGAATTTGTGTATAACACTGCGTAACATAAGTCACGTCTCTAATTTTATGTCCAGCATAACATCATCGTAAACTACTTCCATCGAGGTCATCTACAGATGGCGCTTCATCATTATCAGTGATAAAATCATTAACGTCACTGTCTTCCTATAACGATTTTGCATTTTCATTGCAATCCTTAAGTACTTCATCGCTAATCATATACAGCTGGTGCTACTAAATATAATTTATCCTACTTCAGCAATCTCATCACGCAATGACTGTGCTTTGCATGATCCATATAGACCTATTATTATCATTCTGATAGAATTCGGTAGCGCAGAGTGATGCTTGACCGGCTCTTGTTTACGTGTCGCCGAAAAGTCGATTATATCCATACGATAAATGATATGAAGTTATATTGTGTTCGAGGTAAGGCAGCCACGTCCACCACTGGATTAACAATGATAAAAATAAAAAGACCCAACACAAACTAAAACAATAAATAAATAAAAAGCGGGCACTGATAGGCAAGCGTGAAAAGTGTGGCACAATAAATGAAAATTTATTTCAAATACAAAGTCAGGAAGTGATAGTGCTGCTTCGTTGGGAAAATTACCAGGGTTCAGTGGGCAAAGTATCACAAAGAAAAATACCAGGATATTTTTGTTGTTGTTGTTGTTCTCGAGTTTAACGCCATTTTCAGCACACGATAGGCTATACATGACAACCAGTATTAATGGTGGAGGAAGAAGCCGGGAAATCCGTGGAAAGAACCACCGACCCACGAGAAGCTACTGGCAAGCTTTCTCGCATATCCACATTTGCCATACCAGGATATAATTATTGTGGTCATGGAACTCGACTAGATATAAGACGAGATGATTAATATAAACCAAGACCAGGAGATTATCCAATAAACAAGACTGATCAAGCTTGTCATGTTCCTATCGTTGCGTAACGAAGCAAGAATTTACTACAACGGCATCTCGCAGATGTGAAATTGATTCATGCGTTAAATTCTATACCTGATAAATCTCTCAGAGAAAATCTCGCAAAGTTTCTAGTAAAACCTGATATGAAAAGAAAATAATGCTAGGGACTGGTTAATTAATTATATAAATATTATAATAAAGTCCATTTATTATTCTCCGAGAGGATATTGGATGGGAAGAGCAGTAATTAGTAAACATGCTGACGCAGAAAAAGTCTCCCGTACTGTTGCTGTAGCGTGGTTAGCACGACAGGTCATGTAGCAAATATATCCACGTCCACCTAAAAAAATAAGTACGCGTATTTTGATGTTAGCGTTCCCAACGAAGTTCATCAAACATATTTTTTACCGCATGATACTATTAAAGCACATAGACGTTAACCAAACACATACAAATACGCGTTAACTGTTGTTGATGTTGCAAGTAGATATAAAGAAGCAGAGCCTCTATTAACGAAAACAACATCTGAAGTTGCCTCT